AGCGTTATACAAGGTATACCTGTACATACTTGTTCCAAATCTTTGTCAAAAAAAAAAAAAAAAAAAAAAAAAAAAAAAAAAAAAAAAACCATATTAGCTTTTTTTAACAAACATATCGACCCACGGTGTTTTATTGCATGATCATGTATTAGTGTTTCTTGGATACTTGTTTCAATTTTTAAAACTTTTATTATATTCCAGCTTGCAAATAAGCCAATGACTTTCTTTTATAAACTTTGTTGAAAATAGCATTAAAATCTATTTAGTATTAAACAAAACATTCCTATACGTCAACACATCCAAATAAGTGCATTCCAAAATATTTTAATTGCGATCGAGATACAAGTAAATAACTAGAAAATCTGATTCTTTCGAATTTGATTGGAATATATAATCTTAAAMCTGATTTTTAAAGGTCTTTTAACCGACATATACATTCATACATTCCACGTCTCCTTCTGCCTGTTTGATAAATTTTAACGAAACCATCATTCCCTCATTTCCAGTTCAATGGTTTCAGAAAAAGAAGAAGAAAAAAAAACAGTTCTTAATATTAGTCTTTAGCTTTTTTACGATTTTCAAACATCACTGAAACGAAATGTCGCTGGGTTTTCGACTGTGCTGTGCTAGGCTGGTTGGGAATGTTGAGGAGAGGGTCGCCCGGGCTCATTCGGTGTCACAAAGTTTTTCCTACTCAAAGCAAATATTCATCAATTTTCTGGAACAATGTTCCATTGTTACTTTGTAACTTTTCCATTGCCATACCTCGTAACTGTACCCTGTGGATTTCGCTCTTGCCTTTACTTTAAGCTTCGCCTTTTTATGTTTTTTATTATTAAAAATTCAATTATAATCAATACGACCATTAAATTAAAAAAAAATAAATAAATAAATAAAAAAAAAAAAACATATGTCAGTGACAAAAAAAAGCCGTTTGTATTGAATTTAAATTTACCTTAAAGAAATTGATTGGTTTATATATTTCCGTTCAACGGAAACGAAATGTGCTCTCTCATCTATTTGAAAAATTATATGGGAATTCGTTGTCACTCTTCAAATAATAATACATTTTATAGTACGTTATCATTGAAATATATGTATATACAATGATCTGAAATTCAAAATGCATTAGATTTAATGACTGATAGGACAAAATTCATTGTTTTGATTATTACAGGGCATTGTCCTCACTGACGGCCCAGCTGCTCATGCCTGCTTAACCATATATAACGAGGATAACAACAATAAAAAAGTAAATTGCAGCGAGTATGGCTCGACACTTAGGTCCTAAAAAAAAGACACACAGCACAACTCCTTCGTCGCTTTGCTATTTTTGCAACCCTCGCCTCGCATGATTCACTGCTCGAGGAATTCCAAACGACGAAACTGGAATGGGAACTTTCATATTACTGTGACGACTTTTGGTTAAAATGTTCTTCCATTGAATAGTATATTTAAATGCTCATATATTATGTACTGAATGCAAAGGTCTCTTTTCTTCCCAAACATACTAAGCCAAATATTTCCTACGCATTACTCTATAATATTAAAATTGGAAAATAGAAATCAAAAGGGCAGACTGTTAGAAATTATAACTTATTTTTTTTTTCTGAAGAACTGTCTATTTTGAGAGACAGTCGTAATGAGTATTCAAATAGTCTAGCAATCCCTACAAAAACAGTCCATCTGCTTGTTTATTCGTGTAAGCAATTTCACTTGCATGTACTTTGAGAATGTGTTCGCAAGGTTTGTCTTCGTCTATTGTGCAAATGGGCTAGCAGAATAAAAAAGCCAGCGATGTGGAGTGCTACCTTCATCCCTGTGGCCATGGTGGCGGTCGTCGTCAATGAATATGAAATGATATATTCCAGTGCCATCAGCTTCAACAGTAACGCATTCGCATTCGCATGCGCATCCGCATCTACGGATTTACTACCGTTCTTTATCAATTTTCCCCGATTGCAACAAAAAAAAGGCGCGCCCCAACAAAGTCAGACGCTCTTTCTCTCTTCAAAGGCTGCCTCTTTTTCCATGTTAAAGCACATCCCTAGCAGAGGGCGACAGCTCTCCCTGAATGTCTGAATGTCCACTTCAAATCTTGTTATTGTGTTGAATTTCTTCCTGTTAATGAGGTACCTGCTCTGTGGTAATTTTATATTCCCTATTAAAAATTATTATGAGCTCGTTAGATGTTTTACACAGCCTGCAACTCATTGTAGGATATACATAGTATATATGGATGGAATAGTATATATAGAATAGTATATCATGGCAATCTCCAAGCCCAAGATTTTGACATTGATATTTATCTTAAAACTAGTAGACTAAACAAAACGAGCTGAACGGCTAATCACAAGGTCTATATAAATTCACGAATCGAAAAATATAAGGGTTTCTGATAATTTTTATATTCTAAGTCAGTTGTTGATCAGCCAATGCCTTGAACACTTTTACTTTCGCGTAGAATGGCTTTAACTTTATAGGCCTTAATTTTTAATTTTTAGCCCGCATCATCATATACACCAATTTCATTAAATATATCACGAATCTGATGGCCATAAATGATACGCAGCATTGTTAGCTTTTGCCTAGGTTTTTGGAGCTGATTCAGGCAGATTATATGTTTCCTTAAGTTTTAAACTCTAAATCATGCTCAGTTTTCGATTTTGTAATTAATACACCAAATTTATTTCATTTCTCCGATTGTTTCCGACATGACAGCAGGTGTGAGCAGCACCTTTGTTGATGCAACTTCACCGTGTACTACATTTGAATATGTAGATAGAATGGCATAAATAAACATTTAAATGAACATTGAGTTCATTAAAATATTATATTGTATATAGCCTAAATCCATTTCAAATGGAATGCACATGCCTACGCACTTATAAAAACCAATGGGCTAACTATCTTAAAAAACTTTTAAATCATGATAATATCATTGAAATGTTTGTATCTGACGCAAGGCCCTAGTATATGACAGACTTGTTTACACATTTGGAATAAAGGGAGTGGGATTTTGAGGTTGGATGAATTAAAAAAAAAAATCGAAATTCTACAAAAAAAATTTGAAATTGTTGCTCTAAATATGAAGGAGAAATAATTTTATAAATAATGTTTTATAAGGTTTTAAGATTGATAACAAAAGAAGTAAGACGGCTCTAATCGATACTGCTCGACTAGGAAATACCCTGAACCCTGCCAGCTGATATTCTAATCATTCTGTACTCCTATTATACACACATTCAAAAACACACACGCAGGGAGCGACTGCGCTTGGGCTGCATGTGAACAATCTTATCAGAATTTGTTTGTTAAATAATTTAGTGGGACTATCCTCTAGAAACTTTCAGAACGTGATCATAATGTGCAAATAATGTGCAATTTTAAAGCACAAGTCTCTAGTACTTGAAATATGATTTGTACAAATTGGGGGACGAAGGGAGTGTGGTATCCAGAATCCGTAAATTAATATATATGTGTATTCATTAAATGTATATACGCAGTAAATCTGAAGTCTCTACAACTAATAGTATTCAAATTAGGCTGAAATAAAGAAATTGTATTATCAATTATTCCCAATAAAAAAGAAATCGGATGAGTTTAGAAAAAATTATTCCCAATAAAAAAGAAATCGGATGAGTTATAGAAAAAATATGATAAACTTTAAGTCTTGTCATTTGGGAAATCTCAACTAGCACCGGCCCTATAATACTCGAAAACCCAGCAGTTAAAAGGCAACGACATCATTTCAACGCTAAAGCGGTATCTAGCAAAACCAAACTTAAGTAGTGGTTAATGATTTTCTAGCCTTGAAGGGATACAGAAAATAGTTTTTCGAATTAACCCGCTATCTATGTGTATACATATATCAGCTATATATTTTCATCTCGAATTAAAAGTTTCTACTCGGTAGCACTCAATAACAGGTTTCTGAGATATTGCCCTTCACCTTGTTGACGTATATAGATAGCTGCTATATTTAAGGGGACATAAATGTAACTCCAAAACCTACAGTCCATTAAGAAACTAAATATGAGCGTTCCTGTTTAAAGATGCATTGATTTATTCGACTTTACATACATACATGTATGCCTGCTAGGAGAAAACACCTAGCGGGCATATCGAAAAACGAAAGTTTTTTCTCAGTTGATTTACTGTTCCATAACAATTACTATCAATTATTCATCTTAAATTCAATTGAGCATGTGAAATTGAGTCCATTCTATTTTTAATTCCCTCATACCCTTTTCCAGTTTCCATTTTAAATGGATTCAGGGTATACAAAACTTATGACAAGTCGAAGCGTTTGCTCATTTTTTTCGAATTGTATATCAAGATATTGAAATAAAGAAAGGCTCTAAACTAATGAGTCAAGAGTCCGACGTTCAATTTTATCTGAAATACATTATGAATGGCATTAGCCCCATTTACCACTAGTAGGATTATGTCTTTAAAGTTGTGAACTCAGGGTCATAGATCCTCAAACAAAATTACGGAGTATACATATATATTTATTTATATATTTATATATTTGAGTGAATATATTGTATATACATATGTACATTTATCGTACTAATAGTTTCCGGGGTCTGG